TCCTTGGTGTCCTTGACTTATCCATACGTCACTCCGGCCCTGGCCTGTCTCCATGTGGTGTTCTCTCTCTGTCTCTTGCCCTCTTCTTATAAGGACGCCGGTCACTGGATTTGGGGTTCACCCTAATGCAGCAGGACATCACTTTAGATTACACCTGCAAAGATCCTCTTTCTAAATGAGGTCACATTCACACATTCTGGGGATTAGGACTTCAACATTTTTTGGTGAACTTATTTTTGGGGGGAGACATAATTCAACTCACAGCAGGTTCTCTTAATTGGCTTTTCCATTTGTTGAAAACATACAGGAATAAAACAGATGTTTCATACTTTGTCTCTTGAGATTGTCGCCTTCCTGATTAAACTGTTTTCTGAAGGCCCCCTAGGGTTTTCTACATACACCATCTGTCATCTGTGAGTAGGGCCAGTTTAATTTCTTTTCCAGTCTTTCTAGTCTTCATTTTATTGCCCAGTTGCACTGGGCACCTCCTGTACCAAGTGGAACTGCAGGAGTAACAGTGAGCAGCTTGCCTGATGGGCCCTCCTCGGGGACAGCACTCAGCACGTCAAGTGCAGAGGTGGCTGCGGGTCTTCCGGACACACACCTCGGTCAGACCGCGGAGACCCCTCCCGCTCCTAGGTTGCCGGGTGGTGGTATCATGAGTGGGTGTTGAATTTTGTCATATGCTTTTTTTGCTTTTGTTGAGATGATTATATGGGGTTTTGTTTTGTTTTGTTTTTATTTTGGTCTGTTGTTATGGTGAATTATTTTTTTAATGTCAAGCAATCTTATATTCCTATAATTGCACTTGGTTATATTTTTTATTCTTTTTAGGATTTTTGCCTCTGCGTTCGAGAGCGATCTGTCATTTTCCTTCATGCCTTGTTTTTCTCGCATTTTAGTGTCATAAACTGAGTTAGGGAACATTCCTATTCTGTTTCCTGAGTCTGTAGGATGTTGGTGTGTCTTTCTTAGACATTAGGAAGAGTTCACCAGGGAGTCATCTGAGACTGTAATTTCCTTTGTGAAAAGACCTTTAATTACAGATTCAGTCTATTTAAGTGACACAAGCTGTTCCGGTTTTCTGTTTCTTCAGTTTTAGGAAGCTGTGTGTTTGAAGAACTTGATCCATTTCATCTAAGCTGTCACAGGTATTAGCTCCATAAACTCTTCATGGTATCTCATCTGTTTAACATCCTAGAGATCTATGGTGATGCTCATCTCTGACTCCAGATTTTAGCAATTTACGTTTTCTTTCTTAATCAGTCATGCTGTGGGTTTATCAGTCTTATTACTATTTAAAAGAACCATTGGCATTGATGATTTTTGTCTGTTTTCCATTTCATTGATTCTGGTCTTTTATTATTTCCTTCCATTTTCTTTGGACTCAATTTGCAGTTCTTTCCCTAGCATCTTGAGATGAGCACTTGGATCAACGAAGTCTCACCTCCCTTCATCCTAATTCATGCCTTCAGAGCTATTACATTTCCCCTGGTCACTGCTTTCGCTGTATTCCACAATTTTTAGCAACTTGTTGTTGTTTTTATAGCAACTTGTATTTTCATTTATACTCAGTTCAAAATATTTCCAGTTTCCATTGTATTTATTTTTCCCATAGATCATTTAGAAACATGCTGGGAATTTATTAGTTATCGTTCTGTTACTGAATTGTTGTGGTTTAACCTTAGTGGAATCAGGCTGGAATCAAGATTGCCAGGAGAAATATCAATAACCTCAGATATGCAGATGATACCACCCTTATGGCAAAAAGTGAAGAGGAACTTAAAAGCCTCTTAATGAAAGTGAAAGAGGAGAGTGAAAAAGTTGACTTAAAGCTCAACATTCAAAAAACTAAGATCATGGCATCTGGTCCCATCACTTCATGGTAAATAGATGGGGAAACAGTGGAAACAGTGTCAGATTTTATTTTGGGGGACTCCAAAATCACTGCAGATGGTGACTGCAGCTATGAAATTGAACGACGCTTGCTCCTTGGAAAGTTGTGACCAACCTAGATAGCATATTAAAAAGCAGAGACATTACTTTGCCAACAAAGGTCCGTCTCGTCAAGGCTATGGTTTTTCCAGTGGTCATGTATGGATGTAAGAGTTGGACTGTGAAGAAAGCCGAGTGCCGAAGAATTGATGCTTTTGAACTGTGGTGTTGGAGAAGACTCTTGAGAGTCCCTTGGACTGCAAGGAGATCCAACCAGTCCATCCTAAAGGAGATCAGTCCTGGGTGTTCATTGGAAGGACTGATGCTGAAGCTGAAACTCCAATGCTTTGGCCACCTGATGTGAAGAGCTGACTCATTTGAAAAGACCCTGATGCTGGGAGGGATTGGGGGCAGGAGGAGAAGGGGAAGACAGAGGATGAGATGGCTGGATGGCATCACCGACTCGATGAACATGAGTTTAGGTAAACTCCGGGAGTTGGTGATGAACAGGGAGGTCTGGCGTGCTGCGTGCGATTCATGGGGTTGCAGAGAGTCAGACACGACTGAGCGACTGAATTGAATTGAATCTTAGCCATCACAAATTCAGTGATTAAGCTCTTTGAACCATTGTTGTGACTCACTAATTTGTCTCTCTTGGAAGCATTCCGTGTACACCTGAAAAGAATTACAGTTAGCACTTGTTGGGTATAGCTTACATTCTATGTATGAATTAGGCCAGGTAGATTATTTTGGTTTAATCTTCTATATCCTTATCGATTTCTTTTCCCTGCTTCTTTCAGTTACTGAGAAAGGTATGTTAAAATCTCCCAACTATGATTATGTATTTATCTAGTTCTTATGCTTTATATTGGTATTATTAGCCCTATGCAAATCTGGGTATATTATATACCCCTGATAAATTTACCTTTTTATCATTGTGTGACATTGATCTTTATCTCTGGTAGCATTTTTTGTCTTAAAGTGTAGTGTCTGATTTTCTTGGTTAATGTTGGCGTGGTGTGTCTTCATCTTTTCTGATGGGCACACAGGCAAGACCTTTATTTGCGTCCACTGTGACAATTGTTATTCAGTCAGAGGGTTTGGTAAGTTTATTTACTGCTGCATATGTTGGGATTTTTATCCCCAATCAGGGATCAAACCCCAGGCCCCACATTAGAAGTGCAGAGTCTTAGGACTTCTTAGGACTTCCCTGACGCTCCCAATGCCGGGGGCCCGGGCTGCATCCCTGATCAGGGAACTAGATCCCACATGCCACAGCTGAGAGCTCGCATGTCGCAACTAAAGGACCTGAACGCTGCAGCAACTGAAGATCCTGCAGTGCTGCAACTAAAACCAGGGCAGCCAAATAAATACTAAGGAAGTGCAGAGTCTTAACCACTGGACTGCTCGGGAAATCCCTCTATAGCTTTTTAATTAAGTATTTCCATCCCCAGATGGTTACCCTAGAGATTATAATATGCTCCTGTAATTTATTGTCTACTGTAAATCAATGCAAAAACCTTATAACCTTATAACTGTGTAAGTTGCTTAAGCACTCTGCTCCCCCACCTAGAAAGTTCTCATGGTTGTTTGCGTGTCTGAAAAACCTTCAAGACATTATTGTTTTAAACAATCAGTACTCATCCGTGTCTACTCATCCCCATGCTCCGCACATTTTTCTGTATTTTTATCCAGAAGTACTTCTGACCAGCCTCAACAATCTCCATAGTATCCATATTTCTTTTAGTACCATCTGCATATACATCTGGTTCGCTTGTGTTTGTGTGGCTGTATCTTCACTATGCCTTTTCCCCCACATGCCCTGAACTTGTTACTGTATATTGGACTGTGGATTCTGTTACCTGTGTCTGAAGAAAGATGGGTTTTGTCCAGCAGGCCAGTAGATTACTGGTTGGCTACCTGGAAGAGCGGGATGTTTTGGTGTTGCCCTAAGATGTCAACTTCACTCCTAAAATGTGAGGGTTTCAAAGAAAAACCGAGGTATGTAGCCGCCCCTAACCCTGAGGGGCAGCCGCCGGGGCCTCTGCTCACGCGTCCCGCCTGCCAGCCCCGGCGTTCCTGCCGCAGGATTCGTGGGGTCTTGCTCTCAGCCTGCCCAGGTCAGGGGTCAGCCAAGGATCTGAGGGCTCCCCTCCTGCGGCTCCTTTCTCTGCAAGAAGTGCTTGGGTGTCTGCCAGGTCCTCCAGCTCCTGAGGATGGAGGCTCCCCGTGACGCTTGAGACCGACGGCTTCCAGTCAGGCTCCTGGACACCAGGGGGCGTGGGGAATCCCACGGAGGGGTCGACACCTGAGCTACCCCGGAGGAGGGCAGAACCGGAGAGAGAGGGCACACGCACTCCAGGCGGGAGGGCCAGCACGGCACCCGCATGCTGGCAGCTGCTTCACGCAGACCGCACAGCAGGGTCGGGGCCAGGGGGCCAGTGGCGGGGTTCAGATCCCAGCTGTGTCCCCGCTGTTGTGCCGCCTCCCCACCCGCACTAAGGGAGAGAGGAACCCCAGCCTCCTGGCTCTCCTGAGGGTTCGCGGGGTGACAGGCCCTGTGGCCCTGCACACCCTGCGCTCAGCCTGTCCTCGACTCCCACCTGGGCTGGGCCCACGCTGGACCACACAGCTCTGGAGGCCCCGACAGGCAACAGTCCGCAGCTAACTCAGGCCCCGGTGGAGTGCGGCCAGGCCCCTGCGTCCCAGCCCCCCACACACACTCGCAGCAGCCGCTTAGCAAGTTCCTTTATTACAGAAAGGTCACATGATCAGTGTTCATCCTCTGGGGGCGTGGCGGACACCAGCGCAGCGCAGCGTGTCTCAGTACAGCTCAGGGTTCGGCTCCACACCGCCGGGTGGGGGCAAGGCCAGGTGCTGGCCTCCGCCTGGCTACTTGGGAAACCAGCTCCACGCTAGAAGTTCCAACCCCTACCTCTGCCGCCAGCCCCGCCGCAAGCTCCCGCTGACCCAAGAGCAGCCGAGGAGGAGGCTCAAAAGCACCCCCAGCCTGTGCTGGGGGCCCCGATCCGGATGCGGGGCCCGCCCACCACGGGCCACCGGGCTCACTGGCAGCACTCGGCCACGTGCCTGAAGAGCTCCTCGCCCTGCTCGTCGCTGAAGCACTGCAGGCAGTGGGGGCACTGCAGGTCCCCCTGGCCTCTCTGGGTCACTCCCGAGCACCCGCCCTCTGCGGGGAGGTCCAGCCACTGGGATCCCGTCCCAGGCCTCCGGCCACCGGCCGCCACAGGCTCCGAAGCGTCGGTCTCTAAGTATCTGGGAGATCTGCTCCCCGTGTGAATCCGGCAGGAGGCTGGCTCGCGCGAATCCTAGGAAAAGGCAGGAGTCCGCTCCCGAGGCTGGTCTCAGCTCCAGTGTCTGGAGCCCCGTCCGTCGCTTGGTGGGACCCACACCTTCACTCTGGTGCCGAGGCCCGAACGAGGACGTGCCGAGGATGACTGAGGGGTCCGGAACTCCTGCCTGTGCCCACGAGGGAAGAGGCCCACGTGGGGGCCACCCGCAGCACGGAGGGGCCGCGAGACCAGGACAGGCCGGCGGATGCCACCCTCCACGCACGCACACGTGCCACCCGGAGGTTTGCAGGCGCTGGGCACGGCGCCCCTGCCCGGCGCGGAACCAACGTCTTGGCAGCCGCAGGAGGGCTCGAAGTGCGCGAAGGAGAAACGAAGACGACCCCCGCCCCGGGCCCGAGGAGACCCCGGCTGTACCTGTCTCCAGGATGCCTGGCGCTGCAGCAAGGCCACCTGCTCCTCCAGCTCGTGGATGCGGCTCTGCGCCCGCTCCCTGTCGGCCCTCTCCGACGTGAAGTCGTCCTTGTAGGCGAGGATCTGCGGAGAGCGGACGCCCACGTCAGGAGGTGGCGGCCCCGACCCCCGGCGTCTGGAGGAAGAGGAAGCCCGCCCCCCTATGCCGTCAGGAGGAGGAGGCCCCGCTCCCCGGGAGGCGAGGAGGCCCCGCCCCCCCCGCGTCTGGAGGAAGAGGAAGCCCGTCCCCCTATCCCGTCAGGAGGCGGCGGCCCCGCCCCCCGGCGCCCACGGCCCGCCACACCTGCTGCTCCAGCATCTGCACGCGCTCCAGCGCCGCGTCCCTCGCGCTCTTCGCTGCCGCCAGCTCCCGCCGCGCTTCCGCGCAGTCATCCATCTTCTCCTCCAACTGCGCGTTGAGCCGGGAGACCTCCTTCCGCATCAGCTCAGGCTCCGGGGTGGCCTGCAGGCCCTTCAGCTGCGCGTGGAGCCCCCTCACGTATTCGTCTCTGCTGGCGTCGTAGCGCTGCCACCTCGCGTTAAGGTCCTCCACCTGGGGGCCGGAAAGTGGCCTCGAGCCCGCCCGGAATACGAGGCCCAGCCCCACGTGGAGGCCGGCTCCGCCCGGTCGGGGGGAGGGGGGGTGCCACCGGGACGCGGTGATGGCGGAGTCGCTGCTTGAACGCTGGATTGACAGTGATCCCTGCACCTCATTTAGCAACACGCGAATTAACCTGGAGGTGGAGGACAACCAGGCGTGCTCAACACATCCTTTTGGGCAAATGTGTCGGGCCTTTGGGGACCCTGTGTATCAGCCGAAGCGGCCTCAGGGCAGGGGCGACCCCTCACCCGCAGTTCGCGCGGGGCGCTAGGCCCGAGTGCGATCTCAGACACTCACGTGAGTCACCTTCTGCCTCAGCACCCGGTTCTCCTCCCGTAACTTCTCAACCACCGCGTGCACAGAGGCGTCCCTGTCCGCACACTCGGGCTGCACGAGAAAGGGACCAGACCCCATGTGACCGCACCTTCCGGGCACCGACTCGCAGACGGAGCTGCAGCCGCCTTGCAGCAGGTGTGACAGAGACAGGAAAGGACAGGCACTTCCGAAGGGAGGGTGGTCCTGGGACACCCAAGCCCACCACATGCGGGAGACCGCCCAGCGTCACAGGGCTGAGGGCCGGGGCGCAGCGGGGGCAGGAAGCCGAGCTCGCTGTGACCAGAGAACTTCCCGGCCCAGGGCCCCCGGCCGCCAGGAGCAGGCCCCTCCCTCGTGCCCGCCGTCGTTCCCTTCGGGTGTGTCATGTCCGGATGACCACGGTCAGCCTCAGGCGCTGACTGTCCACGACAACCTCCCCGGGGTGGCGAGGCTGCCGGGATTCACGCCTAGAAGAGCCGGCGTGCTGACCCACTCCCAGCAGGGTGGGCGGGGCTAACCGAAAGGCCATCAAAAATTCAGTCATTTAACAAAGCGGATGGATGGCGGTGACATTATTGTGAGAATTCCCCTCGAATGACAAAGGAACTGCGTGTGCTAACCCGGCGGGCTCGGGAAACCCCGCTGACTCGGCCAAGACCAGTGCTGAGAAATGACGCCGGCTTAGTGCCTCGGCCCAGGCACGCCCAGGCCAACCACGACAGGCTTTCAGATCCCCAGAGAGAAAGGGCCCTGTGACTCAGAATCATACGAGTGCACGGCCTGCCCAGAGAGCACTCTGGTTTCTCAAATGTGCCGTGTTCTTTCTGAGGTTCCCTTTTCGTGGGCTCCACCCCCAGGAGACGGGGATTCTCAGACCGAGGCCCTCCCCCGCGCCCCGCAGAGCTGCTGCTAGGGGGCTGCAGGGCTCCTCCCCACCGCCCCACACCCAGGGCGCGCTTCTCAGCCAACTTGTCACAGCCCCCTGCACCGCCAGGACCCCGCAGGCCCTGCTCCCGACAGCCCCCGGAGGAGCCCCCTGGTTTCTCCGGTGGGGGCTTCCTGATGCTGAAACCCACCGGCTCTCCTGCACCCGCACTGCTCTCCCCCATAGGCCCCATCCCGAGTAGTGCCAGGCAGGGGGCACAGCACCAAGTGGGGCCCCGTGTCCTCCCTGCCCAGGCGGAGGCCCCCTTGGGCCAGCGCTGCTCACACAGAGGCCCCCCAGTGCTTGGAGTGTGGGCACCCGGCCACTCCACACGTCAGCGCTCGCTCAGGACACCCCTTCTGCCCCGCCCGGCCCTGCTACTCCCCTGCTCCCGCCGAGGCTGGGGAGACCGCAGGGCCACCTCCCCACTGGGCCCTGGGGGACTGCAGGTTGGCTTTCGGGGGACATTCTGCAGGCCCCACCGTCTTCGAGGAAATCCCCAGAGGCAGACAGCCCAGACCCTCCCCGAGGCGCAAGGCGAGGCCTGCTGACCCCAGGGCCTACCTCAGGGCTCTGCTCCCCCGCGGCCCCCGGTGCCCCCTGGCGTTCATCCAGACACTTGGCCAGATGCTGGCACATGTGGGCCGTGGCGGCCAGGGTCCGCCGCAGCTGGTGGGTCTCGTCGGCCAGGGAGCGACACAGGACGTGGCTGGCGGCCCGGGCCCGCTCCTTCTCCGCCACGCTCCTCCGCAGCAGGGCCACCTCCTTCTCCCGCTCGAGCCCCGGCTGGCTCAGGAGGTGCTGTGCCTCCTGCTCCTTCTCCTCCAGCTGCTCCGAGAGTCTCTCAATTTCCTAAGGGGAAGATTTAAAAGCACAGCTGATCTGACTGTGGTGCCGGAGAAGACTTAGGAAGACTCTTAAAAGAGTCCCTTGGACTGCGAGGAGATCCAACCAGTTCATCCTAAAGGAAATCAGTCCTGAATATTCACTGGAAGGACTGATGCTGAAGCTGAAACTCCAGTACTTTGGCCACCTGATTCAGAGAACTGACTCATTGGAAAAGACCCTGATGCTGGGGAAGATTGAAGGCAGAGAAGGGGACGACAGAGGATGAGATGGTTGGATGGCATCACTGACTCCATGGACATGAGTTTGAGCAAGCTCCGAGAGTTGGTGATGGACAGGGAGGCCTGGCGTGCTGCAGTCCATGGGGTCGCAAAGAGTCGGACACAACTGAGAGACTAAACTGAACTGATCTGACTGAAAGAAGCAACATCAGAAATAAATTGTCACAAAGCAGAAGACAGTCAGGCAGAGACACCCATCTGTAGGTAACAAACACGTTCAAACACGGTTCATTCGAAGGCTGGCTTCTAGATGGATGATTAACTCAGGAGTTTTCAGCCCCAAAAGTTCCATCTGAAACATCATCTAAAATTCTGTTTTCAAGAGCAAACTCATAATGTTAGATTTTACATCATCAAATTACTAAGTGTGGCAATCCCAAACCTCTTGAAAGAAAGAGCAGAAACTCCCCTGCGGTGGGCAGCCCCCAAAGCCATGCCCACGTTCTCACCCCAACACCTGGGAACGTGACTTCATTTAGCTATTTCCAAAGAGCTGTTCAGTCTGTGAGGATGTAATTAGTTAAGATGAAGGCACCCTGGATTAGATGGACCCTAATCTAACGTCCAGTGTCCTCATAAGAGGCAAGTATGGACACAGAAGAGGCCACGTGTGGCGAAAGGCAGAGACTGGAGTGCTGTGTCCACAAGCCAGTGGACACCAAGGATGCCAGCAGCCACTGGAAGCTGAGGAGAAGACCCTGATGCGGGGCCCCTGGCCTCTAGAGCAGATCGATATCTGCTGCCTTCGTGCTGTGCCTGCTCAGTCTTGTCCGCCTCTGTGTGGCCCACAGACCGCAGCCCGCCAGGCTCCTCTGTCCATGGGGTTCTCCAGGCTCGAGCGCTGCAGTGCGCTGCCGTGCCCTCCTCCAGGGGGTCTTCCCCACCCAGGAATCGAGCCGAAGTCTCTGTGTCTCCTGCATTGGCAGCTACACTCTCCAGAGGCAACCACTACTCACGATCTGGCCAGGGGTCTTGCCAGGGTGTTGACACGCATGTGTGGCACACGTATTCTTACACTAACGGGTCTGATGGCACTGTCCTGGTGCCCTGCTTTTCTGCTCCTTGGTAAAATAATGTGTCCCACAGCAGCACACAACCTGCCTCTTCTTTTCAACTACAGCCTGGAGCCTCACACCAGAGCACAGCTGACCAAGCACACACCTCCAGCTAGCGTGCCCTTATGCACACACAGCCCCGGGACACATCCCTCCAAGTCTCATGGCTGGGTCTGCCTAAGCCTGGGGTTAGGAAGTGACTGGGGATTTCCCTGCTGGTCCAGCAGCTGGGATTCCAAGCTCCCAATGCAGGGGGCCTGAGTTCCATCCCTTGTCAGGGAACCAGATCCCACATGCTAAACCTAAGACTTGGCACAGCTAAATAAATAAAATATTTAAAAAAAAAAAAAGGAATTGATGGGATGGACCTAGAGGTTATCATACTAAAGTCAAGACAGAGAAAGAAAAAAATAAAAATAAAAAAATAAAGTCAAGAAAGAGAGACAAACACCATATATCGCATGTACGTGGGACCTACAATATGACACAAACACACCCACCACACAGAAACACTGACACACGGAGGACCCTCTTGTGGTTGCCGAGGGGCAAGGGGAGTGCGGGAGGGCTGGGGTGGAGTCTGGGATTAGGGGACGCGCACCATTACACAGAGAATGAACGAACAACAAGGCCCTACTGGACCGCGCGGGGAGCTGTGTCCAATATCCTGTGACAGACCACACGGGAAAGAATACGAGAAAGAGCATATACTATGCACATACATACACATGTTTGGGCTCAGACGGTAAAGAATCCGCCTGGGTCCAAGCCCTGGGTTGGGAAGACGCCCTGGAGGAGGGCACGGCAGCCCACCCCAGGATTCTTCCAGAAACCCCACGGGCAGAGGACCCTGGTGGGCTACAGTCCATGGTGCTGCAAAGAGCCAGACACGACTAAGCGGCTAACACAGACCCATACACATACACACGCACAGTTACATGTGTACGTGTAACGGACTCACTTTGCTGTATAGAAGGAATTAATCAAACACTAAATCAGCTATACCTCAATAAAATTAAACAACTGGGGGACTCAGGAGCACGGCCAGGCTCTGGGTCCCTCCCTGGGCAGTATTCTTACACTAACGGGTCTGATGGCACTGTCCTGGTGCCCTGCTTTTCTGCTCCTTGGTAAAATAATGTGTCCCACAGCAGCACACAACCTGCCTCTTCTTTTCAACTACAGCCTGGAGCCTCACACCAGAGCACAGCTGACCAAGCACACACCTCCAGCTAGCGTGCCCTTATGCACACACAGCCCCGGGACACATCCCTCCAAGTCTCATGGCTGGGTCTGCCTAAGCCTGGGGTTAGGAAGTGACTGGGGATTTCCCTGCTGGTCCAGCAGCTGGGATTCCAAGCTCCCAATGCAGGGGGCCTGAGTTCCATCCCTTGTCAGGGAACCAGATCCCACATGCTAAACCTAAGACTTGGCACAGCTAAATAAATAAAATATTTAAAAAAAAAAAAAGGAATTGATGGGATGGACCTAGAGGTTATCATACTAAAGTCAAGACAGAGAAAGAAAAAAATAAAAATAAAAAAATAAAGTCAAGAAAGAGAGACAAACACCATATATCGCATGTACGTGGGACCTACAATATGACACAAACACACCCACCACACAGAAACACTGACACACGGAGGACCCTCTTGTGGTTGCCGAGGGGCAAGGGGAGTGCGGGAGGGCTGGGGTGGAGTCTGGGATTAGGGGACGCGCACCATTACACAGAGAATGAACGAACAACAAGGCCCTACTGGACCGCGCGGGGAGCTGTGTCCAATATCCTGTGACAGACCACACGGGAAAGAATACGAGAAAGAGCATATACTATGCACATACATACACATGTTTGGGCTCAGACGGTAAAGAATCCGCCTGGGTCCAAGCCCTGGGTTGGGAAGACGCCCTGGAGGAGGGCACGGCAGCCCACCCCAGGATTCTTCCAGAAACCCCACGGGCAGAGGACCCTGGTGGGCTACAGTCCATGGTGCTGCAAAGAGCCAGACACGACTAAGCGGCTAACACAGACCCATACACATACACACGCACAGTTACATGTGTACGTGTAACGGACTCACTTTGCTGTATAGAAGGAATTAATCAAACACTAAATCAGCTATACCTCAATAAAATTAAACAACTGGGGGACTCAGGAGCACGGCCAGGCTCTGGGTCCCTCCCTGGGCCCAAACCCACGTCCGTGAGGTGAGAGCTGCTCCCTGAGCATCGGTGACGCCCCATCCACAGATAAGCCCAGCACATGATGGCAGCATCTAACCAGGTGACCAGAAAATCCTCCGAAAGCCTCGTCCTCTTTCTCTCAGGGAAATTTTTCCACGCAGCTTACAGGCTCTCAGTTTCCCGACCAGGGATCGAACCCAGGCCCGTGGCGGTGAACGTGCAGGGTCCTAAGCACTGGAGCACCAGAGACCCCCTCGGGGTTTTAAGAGGACTCTTTTCCCCGTTTTCCTCAGACTTCGCTCTAGAAGTGACAAGAAAGACAGGAAGGGAGGGAAACTCCATTAGAAGAGTGAGCCCGCCTGGCTCTCTTGGCAAAGGCCTCGGGGAAGGTGCTGCCCTGGGTCCTTGTTCCATGTCAGGGACTCACTCATGAAGGCGGCAAGGGGACAGCAGGTGTCCTCGAGGGCGGCAGGTGAGGAAGTGAGGTCAGGCCCTGGCAGATGGGCCACGTCCAGCACCAGGTGCACGAGAAATCAGCAAAGTAATGTCTCTGCTCTTTGTGCACTGGCGACAACGGGTGTGAGAAGCATCAGCAGATCAACCCTGCCAGCGGGGATCTTGCCCAAAGGCATCCGGCGCTGGCGCGCCATCAGCCCGTCGCACCTCACTACCCTCTGACATCATGGCGTCAGAGCCAAGCCGGGCAAGGCCCGTTCTTGAAAGGCCACTACTTCGTCCTTCCTTTCGGCCCTGATGACCTCACCGCTGGGCCAAAGGAGGAAAAGAGGCCTCTCTCTGGACCTGGCCAGCGGACATGAGTACCTCCTCCCAGCACCCAGCCCTCCAGTGAGTCATTTCTTCACATCAGGTAGCCAAAGTATTGGAGCTTTGGCTTCAGGATCAGTCCTTCCAAAGACTATTCAGGGTTGATTTCCTTTACAATTGACCGGTTGGATCTCCCCACAGTCCAAGGGACTCTCAACAGTCTTCTCCAACACCACAGTTCAAAAGCATCAATATCCCAGCAATCTTGATTCCAGCTTGTGCTTCCTCCAGCCCAGCATTTCTCATGATGACTCTGCATATAAGTTAAATAAGCAGGGTGACAATATACACCCTCGACATACTCTTTCCCCAATTTGGAACCAGTCCGTTGTTCTATGTCTGGTTCTAACTGTTGCTTCTTGACCTGCATACAGATTTCTCAGGAAGCAGGTACGATGGTCTGGTATTCCCATCTCTTGAAGAATGATCCACACAGTCAAAGGCTTTTGCATAGTCAATGAAGCAGATGTTTTTCTGGAATTCCTTTGCTTTCTTCTATGATCCAACGGATGCTGGCAATTTGATTTCTGGTTCCTCTGCCTTTTCTAAGTCCACCTTGTACACCTGGAAGTTCTTGGCTCATGTACTGTTGAAAGAAGCCTAGCTTGAAGGATTTTGAGCATTATCTTGCTAGCATGTGAAATGAGTGCAATTGTGCGGT